ATGTCCGCTAAACTATGCAGTGTTTTTCAATTTGTTCTAGATTCCAAGCCCCCCTTGCACCTGTGCTGGCCCCGCATGTCGTTTGCAGAACGGGAAGCAGCGTGTATGGCTATTGCAGAAGTCCAGGCCCAATTATTGGCCCTTAGATTCGATGCTATTGGAAGCCTCCGTATCAGCCAGTCGGGCCAGATCGACATGGGGCCGCTGGTGCCCGAGAACTGCATGGTTGACACCGAACTGAAGCCGCCTGCAGTCGAGAACTGTGGTCCATTCAAAACCGTTCGTGAATGGCTTTTAGCCATTGCCAGAGGTGATCTGATATTCGAATGATACGAGCTCGATATGTCACTCGTGGAGGAAGCCATTCGGAAAATTGAAAGTTCGACTCTGCTTGCTTCCCAAGCTTCTGATCCGCTGCTATCTCCGTTTTTTCTGTACCATGTCGACTTACGGGCTCGGAACAAGCTTATTTCAAGGGAAAATCCGACAGTTATCACCGCAGTGATTGACTGGGAGGGTGCAGTCACCAAACCTATTTGGGACGTCAGAAAGATGCCTCCTATCATCTACGAGACTCTGAGTCTATGGAATTCCTAGCTCATGGACTCAAGAGACGAATATGTGGCTTTTAAAAGTAAAGCTAGAGACTCAAGACTCTGGAACCTGACGAAATCGCTGCGCTGGAGGCGTTGAAAGGGAAAGTTGATGAACGGACGGAACTTCTACAGGGAAGCAGGAGAGCGATGGACGAATTACTCTGGCAAAGAGTTGCGAGCCTCCAGCTGGATTGGAGCAGAGCGGCGGCAATAGTAAAGGACTACCGGAATCTTTCTAGAATAGCACACTGTGGTGCGATGCTCCCTGAGGACTTTACTCTTAAGGAATGTACATACCATTACAATTCAATTATGTAGACATTGTAGTGCTTCTAATAGTTTCGCAATTTCAGTCATGAACATACATGTCGAGCCGATCAATTGCGTGAGAACAAGTTCCAGGTTGGCTCTTACCATCATGATGCGCTCTTCCCACCTTGCCTCCACCCTTCTCCGCGTATCGGCTCTCACGGCTCGTCCCAATCCAACTTGTTTCATCGCGCGCCCTGCTACTCGCGTATACAGCACCCCCAAGAATCTTTCGAATCCTTCACCAACCGCTATATCGCTTTCTTCCGCGACGCTGAAGACCTCTTCGAAGTCCAGCGCGGTCTCAACAACTGTTTTGCGCACGACCTCGTCCCTGCACCCGCAGTAGTCGAAGCATCTGTTCGCGCAGCCCGCCGCGTGCACGATTTTGCTACCGCAGTTCGCGTTTTTGAAGGGGTGCGCGTGAAGGTGGAGACGAAGGAGCAGTATAATGCCTACTTAAAAGAGCTCAAGGGTCTGAGGGAAGAACTCGGCGAATATTGTTTCCGTTCTCGTTCTCTCTTGTGCTCATGCCGTTATTTTCAGGAATTACCATAGAGGAGGAGCTCTACCCTCACTGGTCGCCGTAAAAGTGTAATAACTTAAGAGCATGGGACCTTCTTCACTGCTGCCCGCGGTCTCTGACGTTCCTCAGCCCTATAGATTAGATGTCTGCATTACTGTGAAACGTCTCGGCAATGGCGCCGCAAAAAAACGTGTAATCCGTTCTGGCCTCGCTCCTACTTCGCGCCTGAGATCCCCGCTGCTGCTCCTGCAGCTTACGATCGTTCCTGTAAACTCCCTCTACCTTGACGGGAAATTTCTGCTCTCCTGATTTGAAAGGATTTTTAAACGGGCTCGTCTCCGGCGAGGGCTTTTCAGATGGGTTTTTACTGATTATTGACGAGTCTGCTGCCAGCTAGACGCATTTCCCGAGCTAACTGTCAAGGTCCGATGCTTGGATTCTCTCCCGGATGGACGACCCATGGTACCTTGTCTGAAGCCAGTTGGTGATGCTGATGTGTGCAGTCTCGTATCGTAAGTGATTCTCTCCAGAGTTCTCGGTGTCCGAGCTGACGAGACCGTTGAGTATCTGATATAATCCAATATCGCCATCAACCTGCGAGGAAGATTTTATTCCTCGTCTTCACTGCGTTCCTTGGGCGCCGAGGCACAGGCTCTGCCGACGCACAAACAATTGTGCCGAGATGTGCCGAGATGTGCCACCGTCATGGCCCACGTGGCCTGTCTCGGGCTCTCGGCACAGCGCCACAGTTCGCCTCCGGGCCATAGACCGGTGACCGATCTCTCGTATGAAGACAATCGCGTATGAACGATTGTCTTCATACGAGAGATCGGTTCATACGCGATTGTCTTCATACGAGAGATCGGTCACCGAGGGAACGTGTTTGAAATTCGCCGACACCCCAACTGGAATGCCTCACATCATATATAAGCCTTTGGCGATTCTGGCGCTATCATAGCGGCTTCACGAGAAACTCACCTCAAATTGCCCAGTCGCTTGCCTTATCGTTCGAGGAAGGTGCGACAGGAGCGGCCGGGAACAAGTGAATTTACGATTTCAGCGCTATTCAACCACCCGAACAAGTTTAGCAACTGCGCCCTCTTGGCTAGATGCAGCAAAGATTCAGCCTTTATCAGCAGTAAGCCCAATGTTGCTAGTTTATGGCCTAATCAGGCGTCACTAAATGTTGAATCTAGCGTAATCGAATATCGGTTGCCCAGGGCTGCTGGCGTCCCGTCGCCTCAAGACCATATGTATGTGGTAGTCAAGCGTCGCTAAATGTTGAATCTAGCGTAATCGAATATCGGTTGCCCAGGGCTGCTGGCGTCCCGCCACCTCAAGACCATATGTGTGCGGGTGGAGTGGTGCCACTCATTTTTTTGCACCATAATACCCACTACACTCGCGCATCCACCATGGACGCGAAAACTAAGTTCGAGCAGGTATGGGGTCGCGTCCGGGGTGAACTTGTCGGGCATATCGAAGGTGTGGGCATGCCGCCAGACGCGGTGGAGTGGTATCGCAATGTACGTTCCCGCCTTGTCAATATGTTTCTCGATACTGATAAGATGCCGCCTGCATAGAATCTTGACTACAATGTCCCTGGCGGGAAGCTGAACAGGGGGATTTCGGTGGTGGACACTGTGCAGATTCTTAAAGGCTCAGAGCTCTCAGATGACGAGTACCAGAAGTCTGCTGTGCTGGGATGGTGTGTTGAGCTGGTGCGTTCGTGTCATCCCGGCTGAGCCATCATTTTTAACCTGTGTCTGTTTTTTTCTCTGGTGCCGTCCCTAGCTCCAAGGCGTTTTCCTCGTCTCGGACGATATCATGGACGGCTCCATTACGCGCCGCGGGAAGCCCTGCTACTATCGCTCACCTGGTGTTGGCATGGTCTCCATCAACGACTCATGCATGCTCGAGGGTGCCATCTATCGCCTCCTCAAAGCGCACTTTCGCGGGACGCCATATTATGTTGATTTGCTTGAAATTTTTCACGAAACAACGTACAAGACCGAGATGGGGCAGCTCGTGGACCTTCTTACTGCCCACGAAGACAAGGTCAACCTCAACCACTTCTCTCTCGAAAAGTATACGACTCCTTCCTCACGATTACTCTGCGAGCATACTAACACGCTTTGCAGACACCACTTCATCGTGACTTACAAAACCGCGTACTACTCTTTTTACCTACCGGTCGCCCTCGCACTCTACATGTCTGGTGTCCCCGCGTCGTACACATTGGCTGGGAAAACAGTCGAACCCTACAAGATCGCGCTCGACATTCTTCTCCCACTGGGCGAGTACTTCCAGATCCAGGACGACTTTCTCGATTTCTCTGCGACACCAGAGCAACTTGGCAAGGTCGGCACGGACATACTTACCAACAAGTGCTCGTGGTGCGTCAACACCGCGCTCGCGTTCGCGACGCCTGAGCAACGCGCGGTGCTCGACGCGAACTACGGGCGGAAGGGCAAGGCGGAGGAGGCGCGCGTGAAGGAGGTGTTTGAGGCGGTCGGGCTGAGGGAACGGTTTGCGATGTACGAAAAGGAGGTGTATGGAAAGTTCGTGGTACTCATTGATGCGATTCCGGAGGCGGAAGCAGGGAGGCTGGGCACGTTGCGGCGCGCGATTTTCACAAGCTTCCTCGAGAAGATATATCAGCGAAGGATGTAGACTTGTGATCAGTCTGTATACAAAATACCGAAAATATGTGGCAAGCACTTCGGTTGTATACAGACTGGTACATCTCGGGATGGGCTAACATCGGAGTTTGAAATTTTGGCGAGGCTCTTTCTCTCTTGCAGTTTGGTATTTAATGCAATCCGAGCCGTCTTGAGTTTTTATATGCTAAAAATGAACACATTTTCCCCCTTAGATATTTTTCATTAAGGATGGAAGAGTAGGAATGGTCATCGACTTTGGGGCACAACTGACGGAGTTTGATGGCTCGCTTCTCGGCCGATCGCGGCACCTGCCAACTTTTCAAACTCCGTTGGCAGCCCAATCCCCTTTCCAGCTGTAAAACACCGAAGCGCTCGCCGCATTTTTTCGGCATTCATTTTACAGACTGGTTACGAGTCTACGAAGGATGTAGCTTGGCCCAAGTCATCTACCACAGTTGACTAAGTGGATAGCTATACAGCACAGCCTTTCCCAATGCGCAGTTTGGATGGCATTGAGGGACGTGGCAGATATTGAACCCAGAGGAGCGGTTGAACGCGGATTCCTAACGAGTATACGCTGCAGTTTAGGTCTGATCCGGTATTCGGAACAAACCGGCATCCGGTCCAAGCGTTGAATCACGATCAAACTTGGCTAAATAATGCAACGAGACAGGCCCCCCGAGCTGATTATGTCGCGAAACCAGAGGGTTTCTTTATCTGTCCTCTGTGATTTTCTGTTTTTCGCGAATACGAAACAAGTCGGAACACTTTCCAAGCTGTCCTCATGAGTTCACATCAACAACAATTGAGAATGAAAAATCGTGGGGGCTAAAGGAGATTAACCAGCCATCAATTTGATTCCAATCATAATTTGAATCGTTCAAGTATATCATAAAATGAGGATGATAGGGACTGAGGGAATCGAACCCTCGGTTCGTCGCATGCACTAATTCTCAGTAGTAATTACCCGATTACACACGGGCTTAACGGGTCACTTCCATGCCCGACGCGTGTTAACCGTTACACTAATTCCCCTGCACATAAGCTGTTTTGGTCTGTATGATAGCGCCAATTCGGACTGGATGTGAACCACAGAAACCACTCTGCCACGGAACATCGATGAATTCGGAAAAAAATCGCATGCGGTTTGAATCCACTTGCGGGAATACTCTGGATCCTCCTGCCATCCTGTTCATTGCAATGGTCGCATCTCCAAATTGATTTGAGGTCAAGGATAGGTCCCGCACCCTGCACCGAGTTGAAAAAAAAACCAAAAACATGTGCGAATACAAGCAGCGCATACATGGTTAAAGGGTGTTCAAATTTATGAGTCAGTAATCAAGTGTTGAACTTTGGATCCTTTCTCAACATCACATTCCGAAGCCAGTATCTTACTGACGCTTTCTAATTCAAGACCCGGTCAAAGTACAACTAGCAGAATCACACTCAGCAATCATCACAATATTCTCGATCCACGGTGGACGACATACGTTGCACAATCTTAAAATTCTGGTGGAAATCCGATGCATTCCGCTGCTCGAGGGTGAGCTGAATTATTGCATCACCGTCAGCGAACCAGAATTCATTTATTCTGTTCGAACAGAAGAAACCAACCGGGTTGCTCCCAGATGCACCGACGGGCCAGCTAGTAAGTGCCAGGCCAGAGGCCGTCTCAACGAGCCTGGAAAGCGCTCAGTGTTGAGCGTCTCCGCATACTGGAAGAATCATAGATAGATAGACAGCACATACGGTCCTCCTGCCGCCGCGTTAAAGCTCCACAGACTAGGCGCGTGGCTCCCGACGATCTGTGCGCGAATCGCAGCGACGGGGTCCGGCGCCGTCGAGTACGACAGGAAGGTCCCGGTGCCGGCGTTTGCGATCTGATACACGTTCACGGTGCATGTGTCCTGGAAGAGCCACTGGTCCGGTGGGTGTCATCGTCGACTCAATATTCGGAGGCTGCATGCATGGTAGGTAATAATACGCACTCGTGAGGCCGAAACACTCCCCGTTGGGTCCACCCAACCTTGAACGGGCGTCAGGTTCGCTGACTTGGTGCCGACGAGGTTAAAGACGCGGTTCTGGAAGTCCGTGATCAGCCACTGTCCTGCCAAGGGAGCGGCTGCGGCCGTGGTTGAAACCGCGTCAAGTGCAGAGAGTAATATGAGCGGGAGGATGAGGGCCATTGTTGAATCGCAGCGTTGCGGATGTTGTCAGCTTGGGGATTATGTATTCAGCACGCAGAGCTTTTATTTTCGGTCTCGCCGTGTGGGAGGACAGATCGCGGCGGGAAAAGAGTGACAATATGGGTCAAATGCATGGGTCTCGGATGAATATAGAGTTGGTTTCGCGAGTCACCAGGTAGCAGCACGACCAGAAATATCCAAGATTGGACAGTTGCCAACTTGCCATAAGCTGGCGGGTCCTGGAGCTTGAGAAAGGAACAAGTGTCGGCCGCATGCGGGAATATTTTTGGATGAACGAGAACGAGAAGTGGCTGCAGAGAAATTAGAATCGTCTGTTCACAGAGAGCCTGTTCAAAAAAGCGAGGTTATGGTACATATATACGAGAACGCGATGCCCAAATTGCGCATATGTGACATTTGAAAGGCATATAGAAGACTAGGTACCATGATGTAGTAGGCGCCAGGTCCCGAATTTATGTCGTAGCTGGACAGCCGAGGCAGGAGAAAAAATGACGCGATATGTTAGTCTCTCCTAGACAGACGCTTCATCAGTTCTAACTCGTACCTCGTTTGATGAAGCGATATGTATGCGCTAAGGAATTCGGAAATGTATTGTTGCGGGTGGCCGAATGAAATATACATCGATAAAAATGGGTAGCGTTGGATATTGTTAATGGAGCTGGTGACCTAGAGACAGACTCGGAAAACTGCACGAAAAAGCAGTTGCAAGCGGAATGGAACCTCGCTCGGTGATGAGGACGTCCCCAAGAGATAAAAATACGAGCCGAATGACTTGTGGAAGTGTTTGTGCGTGGCACAGCCTGTCGGGTGTGGAGTTCGCCGGCTGCAGAGTATGTCCCCGACAGATCGCGCCGCCAGTTCTATTTTAAAGCGGTGGACGGGTCATTGAAGACGCGGTATAGCAGAAAGAAGGTCGAGAAACAAGGTCAAGATTGGTCCTGACCAACACCGTTGATCCGATCAAACTCCCTTCCTGACTCCCGTCCAAGGATGGCCGGATCGGGCGGTCCTCGCGCGTTAGTATACATACTTGCACTCGCTGACCGCTCGCACCAGTGGCTCTTCCTCGACAGTGGACACCAGCACGCCGAACGTGTTTCAGATCATGAACAGCGGCACCGGACCTTCCTCTCGTATTCGACCGCCCCGGTCTCCGCGTCCGCGATCCGCGCGCAGATCGTCGGGAACCATGCGCCGAGTCTCTGGAGCTTCAACCCCTTGGGCGGTCCGTACGTGCTGTCTATCTATCGGCATTCTGCTGCCTCTCCACAGACAAGCTGACACTTCCTTCCCAGGCTCATCGAAACCGTTTCCGGCCTGGCCCTGACCAGCCGGCCCGTCGGCGCGTCCGCGAGCAACCCAGTTAGTGTCCCGTTGAATAAATAAATACAAATTATCGCGTGCTGACCGCGATTATGCACCGCAGTTCACCCTCGAGGGGAACAACGCGTCGGATACGCACCAGAATTTCAAGATCGTGCTAGGTGGGTGCTCCGACAAGGGGCGAGGATATTACGATGGCGGCTGAGTGCGACTATTCATTATAGTTTGAGGACGTGTCCGTGAACACTCGCTTCGGAACGTGGAGCGAATCCGAGTACAATACTCGGTTACTGGCTTGTCAGTTCTCTCTTTTTCTGTCGACACCGCACATATACATGCCTTGTTGTCTTCGAAATGTCATTGGTTTTTTTCAACTCGGTTAAATCCAACGCCGGGCATGTTACATAACATGATGGCAGTGGGCGGCCGGATTTATCGGGTTCTAGTGGAATTCGAAAGCGTACATCGGAAAAGATGTTTTTATCCTGTGTTTGCTCTTGTTATTTCATGGTTGAATTCAAGGCCGGGAAATGATCGCATGAATGGTTCTTACTCGACTGCAATGTCGTTTACTGCAGTGTCGTTTCTTAGAAAGTATCGATCCTAAGTTACCTCTGGTTCTGGAGCAGTTGTCTCTATACGGATATATTCTCCGCTAGCCGCTGTTGACGGATCATTAAGTTCTGGAAGAACAAATCCGAGCAGTGCGCTCTCGCTTGTTCGTGTTCTTCACCTTGGATGTCTCGTTCGACACCCAGGCCTGTTTTTTGAGGAATGTCGATTGTCGCTATACACACCATGCGGTAGCTTCAATATATCAATGAATTCACATTACGTTCTAGTTGACAGCCGGCCAGGTGGGGTAGTTCCATTGTAACCCACTCTTCTCGAGAGCCAAGGAAGAAATTTCTCCTTATGCGACCGCAACTCCTTTTTCTCCTCCAGGGACAGCATAACTGTCTAATTTTTGACATTTACCTTGGGTAGCCCAAAATTGTCACTCTTTCTCGCGACCTATGCAATAATAAATATGCGTGCTGCCCGTATAAAAGCTCGGTGTGCTGAACTACCTTCTCCCAAGCTAACAACCTCTCCAACGCTAACAATGGTCCACATCCTCGCGCTCGCACTCTCTGCACTCGGTGCCTTCTCCGCTGCAGCTGCAGTCGGTCTTGCACCTGCGCTGGCGGGACAGTTCGTGATCGCGGATTACCAGGACCGCATCTTCAACCTCGTCAACACCAACTCGGCAAACCTGACTCCCGTCCAAGGATGGAACGATCGGGCCGTCTCCGCCTCGCGCGTTAGTATACATACTTGCACTCGCTCTTCCCCCGATGATACTGACCGGCCTGGCGCACAAGTGGCTCTTCCTCAACACCAGCACGCCGAACGTGTTTCAGATCGTGAACACCGGCACCGGAACCTTCCTCTCGTACTCGACCGCCCCGGCCTCCGCGTCCGCGATCCGCGCGCAGATCGTCGGGAACCAGGCGCCCAGCCTGTGGAGCTTCAACCCCGCGGGCGGCCCGTACGTGCTCTCCATCTGTCGGCATTCTGTTCCATCTCCAAGGACAAGCTGACACCCGCCAGGCTCATCGAAACCGTCTCCGGCCGGGCCGTGACCAGCTGGCCCGTCGGCGCGTCCGGAAGCAATCCGGTTCGTTTTCTGTTGAATAACAACAAATGAGAATTCTGGCTTGCTGACAGTAATGCACCGCAGCTCACCCTCGAAGATCGCAACGCGGCGGATACGCACCAGAATTTCAAGATCGTGCAAGGTGTGTGCTCCGCCGTGGGTCGAGAATATTATGATGACAATTGCTCATTGTAGTTGCTTGAGGATGTGTCCGTGAATACTTGCTTTGGAACGTGAAGTGAATCCGAGTTCAACACTCGGTTACTTACATACTCGTTTGTCAGTTCTTCTTTTTCGACACCACCTTTTTTTTCACCATGTATACAATTGTTTGTGTTGCGAAATGTTATTACTTCTTTTTTCAACTTGGTGTACTTTGAATCCAACACAGTGTGCTCCAGAAATCTATATCTAAACTGCAACCTTGCGCCAACCGACGCACCGCCGATGTACTTCTACTTCTATTTAAAAGAAAGAGCGAATCCTCAATCCAATCCGAAACTGTATTCCAAGATCCCGCGTCTATATAGAACTTCAGTTCAGTCTATATAAAGATCCGGCGCCCCGGCTGTTCTACGTGGTCCGCTCGTCCACACTCAACTCATTAACAAGTCAGGTACGAGCTTCATCCGTTAAAGCGTCTGTCTAGGAGAGACTACTGGTCCTCTAACCCTTATAATTATTTTCTCGTCGAGTTCAGGAAGTAACTTGTGTCGATATACAGACAATACGGCTGCTGCCCTCTATATTTAGCGGGGAGGCTCAGTCATGAGAGGGACCGGTGGTGCAGACAAGAAACGCTGGATGGAGACCGAAGTCTGATCCGATATCCGGAGCAAACCGGCATCCGGTCCAAGCATTGAATT